TGCTCTAGAGGGTTCTCCACACCCCGAAAAAAAGGCTTCTCCCAAAAACCGGTGGCAAGAACCTTATTTCTGACTCCCGAGCTTCATCGCTGCAGACGGCAGAGCTCCCCCGACGCACACAAGTTTTTTGTGAGCTGCAAAGGGTTGAGACCGGTTGCACCCCAGCTTCTTCCCGTTTCCTCTACAGCATCCGTCCCCTCAGGGTGCCAGGACAGCGGGTGACACCGCGAAAAGCCCGGCTCGCGCTGACGAATCACCTCGTAAAAGCATGAAGTAGGTAGACAACACCAGACGCGCTCGCTCTGAAAATAGCTGTTGCTTAGGAACTGGAAGGGGCAAAAACGCAGCACCTCGGATATATAACAGAAAGCTTTTTACATTGAAAGGGAATTAAAAACACCGGACGCCCGGAGGCTTCTCTCCCGATTATCGTCCTTTCACAACGTTGGGAGGAACGATCATCGCTCGGTTCCTCCGACTCCTGGGGCTACGCCTACACCTTCAGCAAGCCAAACAAGGCTTGGTGACAGAGCAGCAAAGAACTCCCACACGTCCAAGGTCCCTCCTAAAAATCCGTGCACGACACGTGCCGGGGCTCCCACCTGAAATATCTTAGAAGCATCAAGTGTTTTTATGCTTTAGTGGAATAATTAAAACACAGCTTGCGTATTTTTCCTGCAGAGGGATAATATTGCCAAGGATTAATTCTGCTAGTCACGTTTTCTTGTCGGATGTACTGATATTAGAAAGTGGTACAAATATTTTCCCCTTGAGTGAGAGAGATGATGTGGTTTTACAGACTGCATGCAGTGACAGGACGAGTGGCAATGGCTTCAAGCTGGAGGGGAACAGATTTAGATTGGAGATGAGGAGAGGGTTCTTCACTGTGAGGGTGGTGGAGCACTGGAACAGGTTGCCCAGGGAGGTGGTTGAGGCCCCATCCCTGGAGATATTCAAGGAGAGGCTCAACGAGGCCCTGGGCAACCTGGTCTAGTTGGGGGTGTCCCTGCTGACTGTGGGGGGGTCGGACTAGATGGCCTTTGGAGGTCCCTTCTGGCCTGGGCAATTCTATGATTCTATGATTTGAGAGAGAGATTTCTTTAGGCGGGTTAAGCATTCCTAAACATTTAGGAATTCTTTAACCTGGAACTCAATTTTGAAGTTTCCTGCCTAAATCCTAACCTCTACTGATTTTAAAAATTAAGCATGGAACATAATGAAATTCACTTTGCACTTTCTGCATCAAACCCAGAGAGTAAGTGCTCTGCGTGAAGCATTTGCAGCAGAAGTGGTATCTTTGGTGATCAAAAAAGAAACAAAAGAAGTAGGTAGCCAGGATCTCATTTCTCTTTTTAAGGCAACCTATAATTCACTCTAAGAGCAGCAACCTTAATAGTAAAATTATTCTAAAAGAAAAGGAATCCTACAACATACACACATATATACACATATATGAGAGTGTAAACTATAAAAAAGTGAGTATTGGCGTGGAAGTCAAGTTAAATATTGTAAAGACAGCTTTTAACTTGTCCCATTTACATTGTATTGAATTGCAGATGCTTATCAGGAGACAAACACCTGCAAACAGAAATTCCCATAAGCCTCAGTGTATTTCATATGACACCCATCACTACCTGTAACTACTTCACTGTGCGTTTCACTCCCACAAGCAGAAATGGAACATATTTTCCAAGCAGGTCATTAAGAAGTATGACATGCACTGTAGTAGTTTCCTTTCATGTTTCAATACATACCACAAAAAAACCTAGTAGTTCTTAAAAAACAAAAATCTCCACAGAATTAGAATTTTGTTTAATGAGTCTTGGTAGAAAAATTTTATGAGTTTATATGCGCATTTCAGTTTTGTGTTAGGGCAAACCAGTGGTTCTCCTGCCTTTTCTCTAGGTGACATTGCTAACATTCACACACAGGTGGCTTCCTCAGACCTATCTTCCCACTTTTTATTATATCTTACTCCCTAAGAATTAAATCGCTGGCGAGGGACTCTTTGTCAGGAAGTGCAGTGACAGGACAAGGGGGAACGGTTTGAAATGGGAAGAGGGGAGATTTAGATGAGATACCAGAAAGAAATTCTTTGCTCTGAGGGTGGTGAGACACTGGAACAGGTTGCCCAGAGAAGCTGTGGCTGCCCCATCCCTGGAGGGGTTCAAGGCCAGGCTGGATGGGGCTTGGAGCAACCTGGTCTGGTGGGAGGTGTCCCTGCCCAGGGCAGGGGGGTTGGAACTCAATGATCTTTATGGTCCCTTCCAACCCAAACCATTCTATGATTCTAAATCACAAAATGGTAAAACAGGTCTCTCATATTACATGCAAAAATCAGACCCTCCTAAACTTCTCCTAACCTTTCAAGGAACTAGTCAAACTCAGTTTAACACTATTGCTATCAAAGACAGTTTTCAGAGCCATGCAAAAGAAAGAGTCTGAGGCTATAATTGCAATCACCAAGGTTTATTTTCTACCCCCTAATGAAACTTTTCTTCCCTGCTTCTTGTGACTGGGCACTAGGGTATCACACAGTAATCAACAAGTTTGGGTCACTTGTTTTTCCTACCTTTATTCAAAATCCTTTATCATTTCTGTGGTATATCCTGTTAGTTTTAAAAGGTTCTTCCAAGATTTATAATAATTACCTTTCTAGAAGCTTTGCAGAACACCTATACACAGCACAAATGAAATAAGAACGCTTAGGGGATGAACTTGATCAAAACTATGCATTTCTTTTTAGATGGATTTAGGAGGAAACACCTCACTGTCTGCCAAGGAAACCCTACACATGCAGATTTTAATCTGTTTTGAAGGAACGTGCTCTCCGAGGGCGAAGTATTTTTGCTTATTTTGTTAAAACAATAAAATTAAAAGACATTCTGCTTAAGAAAAAAATAATCAGCAGAAGTCTTCTACATGGAAATCTGATACAGAGTTTTCTAGAATAGTTTTTTTAATAATTCAACAATAATCTTCAGGAAAGGTCGAAACGACTGCAGGCTGACCTAAAGAGAATTCCATGGAACTTATCTACACCCCACTTCTTCTTTAAAATATGAAATGGTGGTGGAGTATCTAAAACATCATTGATCAAATGGATCAACGTGATCCATTTTACTTTTTAATTTAAAATCTATTTGAACCAGATTGATACCGCTTACCTTCCACCTAAGTCCTTTTCCCTAGCATTTCTTATTGGCGAGCTGTAAACTCCAAAAAATGTCTAGCCCACAACAAAAAAAAACCCCTTCAAGCAGGGAGGCACGTAGCCAACAGGATACACCAGGCATGAGGACTCAGACAGGACTTAGACCTCCATCCCTGAGGCAGCACTAGCGTAGACTTCAGACAGCACCACAGGCAAATCACTGAGACCAGGGGGCACAATTCAGAGAATACAAAAGACTACCTGTATTTTCATATCTTCATACTTTCATATGAAGATCTGCAACAGTGGTAGAAAGGTTTAAGGAGTCTAAGCCAATTTAAGAGTCCAAGTGACTGCCTTCCCCTCAGTAGTTTGGAGGAGTCAAATTTACTTGAGACCGGGGGCCACAATTCAGAGAATACAAAAGACTCCCTGTATTTTCATCTCTTCATACTTTCATATGAAGATTTGCAACAGTGGTAGAAAGGTTTAAGGAGTCTAAGCCACTTTAAGAGTCCAAGTGACTGCCTTCCCCTCAGTAGTTTGGAGGAGTCAAATTTACCTGCCGTTGTTTGGACCAGAAGAACACAACAGGCTCAACTTGTGCATCAGAAGAAGCAGAAGACATGTACTGAACAGCCTGATGAACTGATGCCTGAAAATCCTCAGTTTCCACTGGAAACTAGCTTGCTTTCTGGTTGTTTTTTGTTTTTTTTTTTTAATCTTTTTGAAATGACAGACTGCCACCTGAAAAAAAATCAGATCTGCAACCCCTCTGAAACTGTTTAGTGAAATACTGAATTTCCCGCAAATTTCAAGATGGTTTTGAAATGAGATGCAAGACAGAAGTTTAGAAAACTTCAAGAAAAAAAAATATGTAGAAATCTGCAACAATAAGGGCAAAAGCAAAACATAATCAATTAATCTTACATTAAAAATAGCAAATCTTGTCTATTGGTAGTAGCTTCCTGATTAACATATGATATTTTCTCATTAAAAATGCAGGTAACTCCAGTGATTTTTGCAGGGGGCAGTATAATGGTTAGGGCTAGGAACTACCCTAATAAGATTAAGGTTGCAAACATGTAACTCCACAGCTCGCTTATTACAGATTTAGGCATAGAAGTTCATATTCTTACAAAAATCCTTCACCTGAAGGAAAAGCAATTGCAAAATATTGGAGCCCTAATAAAGTATCTGTATAATTTCAGATGGGAAAGGTTGCTTTTCCCAAGCAGGAACGCTCCTGAACATCAGTACTGGTAGCAATGTCTCTTTTGCAGCAATTCTAATATTATAGATAATTTAAAAATGTATCAGCACGACGCCACTAACACTACTAGCATATCTTCCTTTCAATGATATGTCAAGAGCAAACCAGTAGCTACACATGGCTTTCCTGCACCTCCCCACACAGTTCTAACACCACTAATCCCTTTATTATTGAAGAAGGGGAGAGAGCCATCCAAGTTTTACAAGTTTTTCAGGTTTAAAAAAAAGCACACCACCACAAAACATATACGCATTATTTGAAATTGCATTCCTTTGATATCCTCAAGGAGACAGCTGAGTAAGAAATGCTTTTCTTAATACATCTAATCCATCTTCCTGCTACTGAAAGAAACTATCTGTTGTATGACTCAGCGCAGTCTGGATCAACTGTTTGGATTACAGCTCAAAAATGATATTAATGAAAGCTGTCACGGTTTTATGCTTTTTTTCCATTGATTCAATCCTGCAAATATTAACAAAACGAACGACTTTGCCAATCTCAGATGGAAAACTTGCTTGAATAGCTTAAACTTACAACAAGCCAAAACCAAACACAAAATACTGAGCAACTGACCTGTGAGCCTCTGGGTCCTCGTTTGTGATCCCATTCAGAATGCCCCATGAGCTGAAAAACAAAGAAAAGTACAGGTAAGTGAGAAAATTCACTTATTAGCTTTAATTGAAACATTCATGTTTCTATATCTATTACACATTCTGTTTTAAAAAAAAGCTTTTACTATTTATTTCACACAGCTCTTTTAGCTTCATAATAGGGTGAGAAGACTTGGGAGTTGTTAGTATCACTTTGTACCTTTACATTCAGAGCCAAAACACACCCAGCATCACAACACTGCTCATGCCAATAAAATCCCCACTGCCACAGATTCAGCTTTAGCCAAAATTTAATACTGATCTGGCAAAAGGAGAGCTGATATATCAACAAGGAGATTACCCAAACCAGAGGATATTTGATAAAATAGTATATATTATATAAGACGTGAAAACAACAGCTTTAATTTTGTCTCACCACTGAATTATTCTCAAAGTAATAAAAAAGTAGAGGTACACCCTCTAAAGGAAAACAGGTTGGGGTCATTATGTTGCAGAGGAATGTGAAGAGAGAATTTAGAGATGAGGAGTTCTTGTGGAAATTTGTGATGGTATACAGGTCAAGTTAAAGAAACGGCGAGCATTAATTACAGCCCAAATTCAGCTCTCAAATCCTCCGTGCAACCCTACGGGAGCCTGTGCTGAGAGACAAGTGGTCAGACATTGGATGGCACAGATGGGCTCCAGAAAAAATAATTCTTCCATCTTCCTTCTGCTGTACTTCATAACTGGATGCTACCACTGGCGCTCAATCTCTTTCTTTAAGCAACATGCAATTTGCACACAGCAGCTCTTCCCATATTTCACTGAATTTCTAGAGTTGGAAGGGACCATAGAGATCATCTAGTCCAACTCCCCTGCTGAAGCAGGATTGCCTAGAGCTTGTCAGAGCATGTTACTCAGGAGCATCCAGGCGGGTCTTGAAAATCTCCAAAGAAGGGGACTCCACACCCTCCCTGGGCAGCCTGTTCCAGGGCTCTGGCACCCTCACCGTGAAGAAGTTTCTCCTCATATTTGAGTGGAACCTCTTCTGTTCCAACTTGTGCCCGTTGCCCCTCGTCCTCTCACTGGGAACCACTGAAAAGAGTCTGGCTCCCTCCTCCTTCAACCCTCCCTTGAGATACTTGTAGGCATTGATAAGGTCTCCCCTCAGCCTTCTCTTCTCCAGACTAAAGAGTCCCAGCTCTCTCAGTCTCTCCTCATAAGGGAGATGCTCCAATCCTTGAATCATCTTTGTTGCCCTTCGCTGGACTCTTTCTAGTAGTTCCCTGTCCCTCTTGAACTGGGGAGCCCAGAACTGGACACAGTACTCCAGTTGTGGCCTCACCAGTGCAGAGTAGAGGGGGAGAATGACTTCCCTTGACCTGCTGGCTACACTCTTCCCTATACAACCCAAGATACCATTGGCCTTCCTGGCCGCAAGAGCACACTGTTTACTCATTGTCATTTTACTGTCCACCAGGACCCCTAGATCTTTCTCTTCAGTAGTTGCCTCTAGCGGGTCCACCCCTAACCTATACTGGTACCTGACATTTTTCTTCCCCAGGTGCAGGACCCTACATTTTTCCCTGTTGAACCTCATGAGGTTCTTCCTTGCCCAGCCCTCCAGCCTGTCCAAGTCTCGCTGGATGGCAGCACAGCCCTCCGGGTCATTAGTGGGAGGCAAAAAAAAAGGAGAGAGAATATCCAGTAGGCTTTATTACTGCTTGATAGAGCCAAAGATTATGGTCAAATGTGAACTGCTGACAATAAAACTAACCTCACACTTGCCTAAAAAACCTTGGAAAGCACCAGGGAGTGCCCAGGCAGGGCTCTGGTGGAGGTGGCTGCTGCTGCTAATCCTGTCTCTGAGCACTTGGCCAGCCTGTGTTCCAGCCTGGGAGCTGGTCTTTTTTATTTTTTTCTTTACAGCTACTCAGGGATCTCCTCTGGGTAATGCTTTTTCTTACTCATACAAGCATAGCTTAATGCAAATATAAAAATATGAAAGACAGGAGGGTTAACGTGACATGTAATGACTTAGAGTCACGAACTGTGAGTCTTGCTGCTTCTTTCCCAAAGGTCAGAGGCAGGCAACGAGATGTACAACCTATGCTTATTGCAGAACCTGCTTTTGAAATACTCATCCCAGGAGAGCAGATGGAAACCAACTTCAGAAAACGAGGAAAGCCACATACATCACAGGGTAGGTTTAGATTGAACATTAGGAAAGAATTTTTCACAGAAAGAGTGGTCGGGCATTGGAACAGGCTGCCCAGGGAGGGGGTGGAGTCACCATCCCTGGCTGTGTTTAAGGGACGTTTAGATGCAGTGCTGAGGGACATGGTGTAGGGGAGGACTTTGTAGAGTAGGGGAGATGGTTGGACTCGATGATCCCAAGGGTCTCTTCCAACCTCAACCATTCTATACAACTTCAGAAAATGAGGAAAGCCACATACATCTCATGTGAAATCTTCATCTTCTCTATTAACTGTCGTTACTCATCCTTTCCTTCTCCGAGGGCCCCTTCATTTCTTTAAGTTATTACTTATCATTATATACCCCCATAATGGGAGACAAACGATATCAGGACTGTCACGCCATTTTTTACCTGATACAGCCTCACGACTGACCCCCTGGTTTTACTGTAATTATTTCCTTTTTCCACATACTGTTGGTGGAAACGCTGGCTGTGCCAGGTTTCCCTGTTTGTTTCTCCATACAGCTATGTTTGCTCCTTACTCCATGAAACCAAGCTTTGATGTTTATGAAAGCTGGCCTCTCAGTAAATAACCAGCACGCAGAAGCTACCGAGAGGTGCATCTACCAAAAGTTATGTGCTTCACAGAACCTCTGCCAAACCCTCATACCTGTGCTTCCTCCGTGGCTCCTGCCACTCGGACCAAGAAAACCTCTGCATTTTTAACTCCTCGGCCCCTATGCCCTGTGAGGAATTGGCGCTCGCTTCCCGAATCCACTTGGCTAAAGATAATTTAATTTGGCACGAGTCTGACCACCTGAGACTCCTATGATGATAAAGGACAGCTACAACTTTTTACCGGTGAAATTACCACAAAAAAAAGACAGCTGTGATTTCACAGTTAAGAAAAAAAGGATGGATGTTACAGGCTTGGCTATGGTTACTGTGGTTCTCCAGGCCCTACAGACGTTTGGCAGTGCACAGCACACCCTTAAAACCAAATGCAGCATGAGATCCCACTGCCAGATTTTTCATGCTCCTACCCTCACTGAATCCATAGTTTACTGGAAAACTAAGGCTAGTTTTGCTACTGCCATCAAAAACATGCAATGCAGTTAAGAGTCAAACTTGGAGTTGTCATTCCCATTAAAGAAGGTACGTCAAATGTAGGGATGCTCCCAGTCCAGCCAGTTCGAGGACACCAGACTGACGTGTGCCAGAGGTGGTTACTTGTGATGACTACCAACCCTCAAGCCCAAATCCAGCCCTCTCAAACATTCATTCTTCTTCAGGCACAGTTCGCCCACCCTGTTCCCCAGTTCCTGCCGGGTGCTTCACAACCTCCACACAGAGTTTTTCAGCCCCAAGAGAGCTCTTCTCTGCTTCTCCACCTTCAAAGCCAGCCCTGACTCTGCTCCTCTCCCTATTTTTCAGCCCCAAGAGAGCTCTTCTCTGCTTCTCCACCTTCAAAGCCAGCCCTGACTCTGCTCCTCTCCCTATTTTTCAGCCCCAAGAGAGCTCTTCTCTGCTTCTCCACCTTCAAAGCCAGCCCTGACTCTGCTCCTCTCCCTATGTGACTTCCAGGTGCCTTTCAGCCCAGGTCCCCCCTCTCTGGCCCTTCTCTTCTACCAGATTCTTGCCATCCTGGGGCACTCCACAGATTGGATGTTGCAGCAGCAGCTAATTCTACAGCGAGTCTGAAGGCTATAACAACTCATCCTTGCTCCATTTCTCAGCATTTAATTATCAAAATCACTTACTGAAGAGAGGCTGAAGTCACCAGTGAAGCGACCAGTCCTAAATGCACTGGAACCAACGGAGTGACCCCTTGATTATTCTGGCAGTTTCATTAGCAAACTTCTTGCTCCTCATAGTGAATTACACAACCCACATTTCATTTAATTTCTCTACAAACATGTCTTTGTGGAGTCAGACACATTTGTAGTATTTTTGCTGATGGATCCATTGCCCCCAGTGTAAAAGAATTTCAGCACCATTGCTCTCTCTTTGTATGCCATGTACAAAGCCAGGATGCTCCATTGAGTTAACCCCGTAGTTATCATCTGGTAAAATAGTGAACAAAAGGAAGAGTTCCAGGAGACCTTGCAAATATTAGGCAGTTTTCAAGATTGATGCTAAAATGCATGATCCTATGAATTCAGCCAACCTCTTCCTTCCATTCTTATAACCTACCAAGTTTTAGTTGCTTTTAAAATGTATATCTTCCTCACAGCCTAGAAAACAGTTTTCACATCATGCCAGAATGTTCTTGTCCTATCTGCAATGTTCTATAGTAACAAAAGAATGAAGGGGGAGGGGAAAAAAAAAAAAAAAAAAAAAGAAATAGAGAGTACATCACACTTTTACAAGGCCTGAAGCTTTAAGACAGAAGACAAAACAAAACAAATAAACAGAGCGGTTGCAACAAAATCTCTGCCAGGCCAACACCCTACAGAGGGAAAATTGCCTCAGTATGACACCCTTCAGCTCAACAAGCCACGCTGTGCAAGATTACTGCTGAACCTGAGCAAGATTCTATTTGAATAGGCAAACAATAAGTACAGAATGCAGAAAAGAAGGAAAGCAAGTACATGTGACCTATTGGGCTACTTGGAAATCACAATTTGCACAAGCTTTATAGAAATCAAAAGATAAAGAAAACAGTATTAAAAAAAAAAATCAAAACACAGAAACATAGTGCGTGCACATAAGTCCACTTCAGTCTGAATCAACCTTCTGAAATAAGAAAAAAAGAAAAAAGCAATTTTTTAACAGGTGTGTGCATGAAAATGCATTTGTAGGTAGAAGGATTTATGTTTGTCACTAACAGAAAG